TCTAAACCAGGACTAAACCAGGACTAAAACCAGGTCTAAACCAGGTCTAAACCAGGACTAAACCAGGACTAAACCAGGACTAAACCAGGTCTAAACCAGGTCTAAACCAGGACTAAACCAGGACTAAACCAGGACTAAACCAGGTCTAAACCAGGACTAAACCAGGACTAAACCAGGTCTAAACCAGGTCTAAACCAGGACTAAACCAGGACTAAACCAGGTCTAAACCAGGTCTAAACCAGGTCTAAACCAGGTCTAAACCAGGACTAAACCAGGTCTAAACCAGGACTAAACCAGGTCTAAACCAGGTCTAAACCAGGACTAAACCAGGTCTAAACCAGGAATAAACCAGGAATAAACCAGGTCTAAACCAGGTCTAAACCAGGACTAAACCAGGACTAAACCAGGTCTAAACCAGGAATAAACCAGGAATAAACCAGGTCTAAACCAGGTCTAAACCAGGTCTAAACCTGGACTAAACCAGGACTAAACCAGGACTAAACCAGGACTAAACCAGGTCTAAACCAGGACTAAACCAGGACTAAACCAGGACTAAACCAGGACTAAACCAGGTCTAAACCAGGACTAAACCAGGACTAAAACCAGGTCTAAACCAGGTCTAAACCAGGACTAAACCAGGACTAAACCAGGTCTAAAACCAGGTCTAAACCAGGACTAAACCAGGTCTAAACCAGGACTAAACCAGGACTAAACCAGGACTAAACCAGGTCTAAACCAGGACTAAACCAGGACTAAAACCAGGTCTAAACCAGGTCTAAACCAGGACTAAACCAGGACTAAACCAGGACTAAACCAGGTCTAAACCAGGACTAAACCAGGACTAAACCAGGACTAAACCAGGACTAAACCAGGTCAGGACTAAACCAGGACTAAACCAGGTCTAAACCAGGTCTAAACCAGGACTAAACCAGGGACTAAACCAGGTCTAAACCAGGTCTAAACCAGGTCTAAACCAGGACTAAACCAGGTCTAAACCAGGACTAAACCAGGTCTAAACCAGGTCTAAACCAGGACTAAACCAGGTCTAAACCAGGTCTAAACCAGGACTAAACCAGGACTAAACCAGGTCTAAACCAGGACTAAACCAGGTCTAAACCAGGACTAAACCAGGTCTAAACCAGGACTAAACCAGGACTAAACCAGGACTAAACCAGGTCTAAACCAGGTCTAAACCAGGACTAAACCAGGACTAAACCAGGACTAAACCAGGTCTAAACCAGGACTAAACCAGGACTAAACCAGGACTAAAACTGGACTAAACCTGGACTAAACCAGGTCTAAACCAGGTCTAAACCAGGACTAAACCAGGACTAAACCAGGACTGAACCAGGTCTAAACCTGGACTAAACCAGGACTAAACCAGGACTAAACCAGGAATGAACCAGGTCTAAACCAGGTCTAAACCAGGACTAAACCAGGTCTAAACCAGGTCTAAACCAGGTCTAAACCAGGACTAAACCAGGACTAAACCAGGACTAAACCAGGTCTAAACCAGGAATAAACCAGGAATAAACCAGGTCTAAACCAGGTCTAAACCAGGTCTAAACCAGGACTAAACCAGGACTAAACCAGGACTAAACCAGGTTTAAACCAGGACTAAACCAGGACTAAACCAGGACTAAACCAGGTCTAAACCAGGACTAAACCAGGACTAAACCAGGTCTAAACCAGGTCTAAACCAGGACTAAACCAGGACTAAACCAGGTCTAAACCAGGTCTAAACCAGGTCTAAACCAGGACTAAACCAGGTCTAAACCAGGACTAAACCAGGACTAAACCAGGACTAAACCAGGTCTAAACCAGGACTAAACCAGGACTAAACCAGGTCTAAAACCAGGTCTAAACCAGGACTAAACCAGGACTAAACCAGGACTAAACCAGGTCTAAACCAGGTCTAAAACCAGGACTAAACCAGGACTAAACCAGGACTAAACCAGGACTAAACCAGGTCTAAACCAGGTCTAAACCAGGTCTAAACCAGGACTAAACCAGGACTAAACCAGGTCTAAACCAGGTCTAAACCAGGTCTAAACCAGGACTAAACCAGGACTAAACCAGGACTAAACCAGGTCTAAACCAGGACTAAACCAGGTCTAAACCAGGTCTAAACCAGGACTAAACCAGGACTAAACCAGGACTAAACCAGGTCTAAACCAGGTCTAAACCAGGTCTAAACCAGGACTAAACCAGGACTAAACCAGGACTAAACCAGGACTAAACCAGGTCTAAACCAGGTCTAAACCAGGTCTAAACCAGGACTAAACCAGGACTAAACCAGGTCTAAACCAGGACTAAACCAGGTCTAAACCAATATATTCTCTGATTGGCTGGTGCCTGAACTCACACTTCCAGGGTTTTTGCAGAATCTTCTAGTTCCTTCTGATTCCTGACCTAGAACTGGAGAGAAATGAAACTGAGCGGAGACACTAGGGGGCGCCAGACTGACTACAGAGGAGACACGGGGAGGACAGAGGATCCAGACTCACTGACCAGTAAAGTAAAGATTCTTTTCTCTGACACCTGCTCCTGAAGCCTCCTCAGGTTCACTCCTTCACTCTGTGGTTTTCTTTGGGAAACTTCATACGACACATTTGACTGACAGGTGAAAAATGGAGGATCGAGGAGAAGAATCGAGGAGAAGGAAGCGAGGAAAGAGGAATGAGACGAGGCCACAGTCCTCTATCGTACTGAGGTGCAGTGAGGTATTAGGAGCCTTTTACAGGACTTTTACAGTATTTTTACAGTATTTTACAAGACTTTTACAGTATTTTTACAGGACTTTGAGAGTATTTTTAAAGTAATTTTACAGGATTTTTACAGGACTTTTAGAGTATTTTTACAGGACTTTTACAATATTTTTACAGGACTTTTACAATATTTTTACAGGACTTTTAAAGTATTTTTATGGGACTTTTACAGTATTTTTACAGCACCACGCGACAGTATCATCACAGCAAAGTTAACGAACACAAAACCACCCTAAAACCACAGTATTAAACCTTTCTATCTACTCGGAGAACAAACCAGACCCACTTCCAGGTCAGATCTGTGGAGAGGCGGCCCTGCTCACAGTCACAATGTCTGTTTTTCTAGGCATTTTTGAGCTATAAAACCACCTGTAACTGAATCAATGTAAAATAAAACTAAAGTTACACAGTGCACCTTTAAAATATTCAAATAAAATAAAATAAAAAACTCAGAAAAGCAGAAATAAGTAACATTTGTACTTGGTTAATCACCGTTCTAAGTCCCTGTGATGTTACATTTGTGTTTGGGGGTTTGGTCTTCTCTGTGGGGTTCACCTGGCGCCCCCTGGAGGCCGCTGCGCTGTGGTGTGGGAAACATTAGAACAAATCAGAAAACAGCGTCACAGTGAAGGAGGCTCCGTGTAAATCGCACCTGAGCCTTGTGTAATACCCCAGACTGACCGCAGAGGGCGCCACGTGACCATGCAAGCAAAAGTGAAAGCAGCACGAGCGCAAACAAACACGTCTCAAAAAAAACAAAAAACAAAAAAAAAACATCCAAACGTGCTCAACATGGACTCAGATGTTGGTGCTGTGATGGGAAGAAAACTGTGAAAGGAGAGGAGCTAATGTGTTCTGAAAACAACCGCCAAACGCACTTGGCCCATGGATTTATGAAAATAACTGGAGGTGTTGTTGCTTGTTTCTGCCTCCAGGTGGCGTAGTGACTCTCATTGGTGCTTCAGCGAAAAAAAATCCTCTGGACTGAGACAAGATTTTTCTCACTGAGGCAAATCACAAACTGTGTTCGTCCGACATGAACCTACAACTTTCAAAACTGTCGCATTTTGTGGCGATTTTTACCTATTTTTTGATCATAAACTTTATCTCAGCTCAAAACTTTTAAGTTGTCTTAAAAAAAAAACTTTATAATCGTTAGACCAATTATTGATCAGTAAAATATTGAACTCCAACAATATTTTCAAACAATAAAACAGGTCCAAAACAGTTAAAACTTACAATATCTATAAGAAGTACGGTTTAGCTTTATTTAATTTATGACATTATTTTATTTTATCTATTTATTTATTTTGTTTGTTTAGTTTTGGTTTCATTCCCTCTGTTCTCTTGTTTGATAAATTGCAAACCGCCCGTCATTCCTGCATTAACTGTGAACTGGACTTTGCTTCAATGCAACAGTAATTCCCCTGCACTTTATAATGTTTATACCTCTCATGTTTTGTCTTGTTGCTATGGTTTCTACAATAGGAGAAAAAAAAAAAAGACTTTCACAGAAGAAAATCATGACGACTTTGTGTTGATGCGCAACAATCCCATCTGCAATTTATACTGTATCTACATTTGCTCTTTTGTCATGTTGTTGTGTTTCTGTAATAAAAATATATATATATATAAAAAAATCGTTCCTCTGCTCCTCTCGCTCTGATTGGGCAAAGTGATCACGTGATACACGAGCCCGCGCTCCGTGCGCGTGCTCACGGGAGAAAAGACTCTACTGCGCATGCGCATGCTAAAGGTGAATCTGGAATCTTTTCTTTTTTTTTTTTTACATAATGAAATGTGCATAACTCTCGGTGGGAGATAAAACCGCATTACACGTACATTTTAAAACATTTACAAAACAATAAAATAAAACTTCGAGCAAGGCCAGTGTGTATAAACCATCACATTCAGAGCAAACACTGACATTATTGCAGTTTTTAGATTCAAAACATAAATATTTGGAGACATCATCACAAAGTTATTGTCCTTGTCAGATTCCTTTAGGAGCGACACAGAAGCAAAATACGACTGTAATTCAGATTTAAACAAGAGAATCTGGACTCATGCGCCATCGAGCCCATTGACTTGAATGGGCAGCCATTTTGAAACCCCGGGGCGTCATTTTACCGATTTGGCCCCGCCCCGGGGCAGGTAAAGGTGAGTCTCACCCCCAATTCAGTCTCTGTGTCGGACTGCGGGGACACAGGCTGCAGGGAAGAGTGCTCTCGTTTGTCCGTTTGGCTCTCGTTTGTCCGTTTGGCTCTCGTTTGTCCGTTTGGCTCTCGTTTGTCCGTTTGGCTCTCGTTTGTCCGTTTGCTGAGGACTCGGTTCGGGGCTGTTTTTTCACTTTTGGAACTTTATGAGTTTGAGATGATGACGTAAGTAGATGTTCTGTGTGTTTGAGTTTTTTGCTGTTTACTTTTCATCGTGTTCGGGTTTGTACTGGCATAGTTCCCGAGAGACCGAGACTGTGTGTAGCGTCCGCATCTTACGGGGACATTTCAGTCGAACAGTTCGGTTTTAGAGTCTGTCCGGATCTGTTATGTGTCCTCATTCTGGACATTTTCTCCTCATTTCGGACCCTCGGCCGTTGCGCGCATCAAAACAAACCCCCGGCCGTATTTCATCTGTGATTCTGCGATAATAATGTTTGAAACTGTTTGGTGTTGAACAAAAGCAAATGTCAAAAAGGAAGTCGACTTTCAAACACGCTCGGTGCTCAGAGCGTCGTTTTGTCAATAAGAGCAACAAAGGAAAACACTCTTGTGTTCTGAAAACTGCCGTGTCGACACTGATGTGAACAGGAAGTAAAAGGTGTTGCAGGTTTTTGTTTGTTTGTTTTGTTTTTAAAAGGTGCGGCAGGTTCGACAGGGCGACACCAGAACATGAGCAGTGCTGCGCAGTTTTCTTCTTTATCGTCTGTTTTTTCCCCAACAACCAACACAAGTTGTCTTCATCATGTAATCAGTGTGTGAAATACATAATCATCTTGTTGATCTAGAAACTGATTAATAATAATAAGTGTGATCGTTATACTAATTATATGTAACAAATAATAATATGATCATGATAACAGTGATAAGTGGTTATTTGGGGCAGTTTTTAGACATTTTGTTCTGCTCTGTGGTTACACACTCTGACCCTTTGTCCTCACGTTTTCAGATTCAGAAAAACTTTATTGATCCCATAAGGAAGTTTATTTACATCATCCTCAGAGCAGTTCTCACTTTACACACACACACACACACCAAACACACACATAACACACACACACACACACACACACCAAACACACACACATAAACACACAGACACACACACATCCACACACACACACATCCACACACACACACACACACAGACACACACACACATCCACACACACACAGACACACACACAGACACACACACAGACACACAAAACACACACACATCCACACATACAACACACACACCACACACACACACACATACACCACCACACACCACACACACACATAAACACACACACCAAACACACACACACACACACACAGTGTGTCAGTCCATTACAGTGTAATTTTGAGTCTAAATGTCGTCATTTTCAGAGTCATGTCGGGGGTCACCCTATAACACGGCTCCTAGTGCTTGGTGTGTGTTTTACATGTGCATGTGAAGAGAAGGTTCTAGAGCCGCTCTGTGTCAGAGTCTGTGTTGAAGGAAGTGGGTTTCTGCACGTGTCTCAGTACAGTTGTGATCATGGCTGCATGACTAATGCAGAATGTTCTGTTTGTTGAAGCTTTTAGTCTTCTGTTTGTTACTGTTTACTGTCATGTTTAGGAGTTTTGTCTATTATTTCTCTGTGCATTATTATTGTATATTTGCTCAGTTTGATTTAGTTTTAATAAACATTTTAATCCCTTAGTTCATTGAAACATCTGGCCTTATAATTTTCAAAACTTTTACATCGAGTTGCTTTAAAATCATAATGTGAAGACAAAACATTGATTTAAAAACACTTTATTTTTGTTTCATTGTGTTTAAAGCATTTCCCTCGTGTCTCAACACCAGAGCAGTGGTTTCTATTTTTCTCACTGATTCAGTTTGAAGCTTAAATGACACAAACACCATCAGGTTCTGCTGATTTTAGAAAAGTAACTGTTCAGAACAGCAACAAATAAAAAAGCTTTTGTCACCAGATGTTACTGACTTGACTTAACTTCATTTGGAAGTGAAACACTACAGTTATACAATTATATTATACAATTATGGCAGCCACATGAGCCATGCCTGGAAAATCCACAAGGATCTGTGCATCTATGGAGTCTAAAGTTTACAGCCGCCCTCCCTGTGTGTCTCCTCTCTGTGTCTCTGTGTCTCCTCTCTGTGTCTCCTCGTCTCCTTGTTTCCTTTGTATCTTCTGTCCAAATGTGTTTGTTTTTTGTTAAATTTCATGTTTCTAAAACAGAACTTTACATTTCAGATTCTGAAGTCCAGCGTCTCACAAAAGGAGTTTCATCATATTTAACTTTATACACAACATGAAAAACCAGGAGGAAGTCACCACTTTTCTGCTCATTTTGGTAAGATTTTTTTCTCTTTTGTGGCTTTGGCAGAAGTTATGGAGAATGCCAGTAGAAGAGTCTTTTAATTCAATAAATTAAATAAAACTCTTGACCAGTACTTTATTTGTCATACACTACATGCTTTGTATCTAACCAGAGCAGCAAGATGGATTCTTGTGATGTTTGTGACTCACAAACTCTCAATAATCCATCTTGTGGTGCTCCAGGTGTACGGTTTAAACTTGGACCCTCACAGAGCTCGGCACAGTCACAGAGCTTCTAAGGCAGGGGAGGAGTTTCAGACAACAGCCTCCAGCTCCAGACCTTTTAAATTGTAGTAATGGGGTCACTATCTGGCGGTCCAAGTCCGGACACTGACACCATCCCATATGGACCCGGACAGGGTCATCCCGATGTTCCCAGGGGAACAGTGGTACCACCCACTGTGAAAGGTATCAATGTTCCCCTTTAACTCTGCAGATTCAGCTCAGGTTATCACCATGAACTCATGAAACAGCAGCTTGTATATCTTTGTACACAATTCACTCACCAAATCATTCTTTATAGGGAGTCTACTGAAAACATGTTTTTACTTTAGAAACGAAGCCTATTTTTCACTTTTTATTGAAGTGACCTGTGCTCTGATTATAAAATGGTCCATACAGTGTTTCTGTGCACAGTGAACGGTCGTAAACGTGGTGGACGTGGGTCCAGTCGACTCCATTATTTCTAATGTGTTTAAGGGTAATGGCTGTAGGACAAACAGACTGACTCTGGTGTTCCAACATCTAACTGGAGTAACAGAGTTGGTGGATGTGCACATCGACATCGATCAATCATTTTATTAATTATGTTTATAAGAAGAGCCAGAAAAGTGACACAGTGCTCCTTTAAACAGCCCATGTTACCATAGTTTCTGTTCTAATGTAGTTTCCTGGTCACACACAGACCTGCAGTTGTGTTTTGTTTCTTTCACATGTTTAACTCACAACTAGGGCCCAACCGATATCAGTTGGCCGATATTATCAGCTCGTGTTGATCGATATTATCGGCCAACACGAGCACTTGGAGACATATTTGCCTAAATCTTGCCGGTCTGGGCCAATGGTTCACGTGGGCAGGTTAAACCTCGTTATGAAGTTTAGATTCTCTATATTATGTCCGTTTAATCCAAATTAGAGACAGATAAATGTCCTCATATGTGACGCTGTACGACCCCTGAGCACAAGCTGGGACACAGCATTTTGATCTTTGCAGATGTAGACAGACTCAGGGTCTGTCTGCACAACAACATTTTTTGGTTGACACGGTGAAGTTTTTGTTCGTTCTGGTCTTTCATCCACATGGAGCCGGCGTTTCGGGTGGTGGCAAACTTTTTTTTGAGAACAGGTTCCAGAGTGGAGAAATCTGAACGTTGGCGTTGCGTTGTCGTGTGGACGAACAAACCAGAGCTTTTGGAAAACGATGATGTTGCAGCCCTCGAACTCGCCTCTAGGGACATGAGACCATTGTTGAAATGTGACATGTGCAGAGCACGGAGCCGCTCCTGTCGCCCAACAACCGAGACACACTGCTAATGCTAATGCTAACAACACGCATGCAGATTACACACACGAATCAATAACAAAGATCACACATGGATAATTAAACTGTTGGATTTTGAGATCAAATTATTCTACTAATTCTCCTCCAAATCTTATGGCTAAAAACAAAAACTTATGTTTCACTTTTGCAAAACAATCCGGTGATATTTCTGGGATAAATCTAAAATCGGCTAAATTACCATTAAGTTTAAAAAAGCTTTGAGATTTGCATTATTAAACATTATTATTATTGTTACAGCGCCACATACAGGTGTGGTTTATGTTTTACATCGTTTTCACTCTGCGCTCCGTTGTCGTCTGGACGTGAATATTTATTGATCTGACTCGTGTGTGGACGTGAATTTTTTTTCAACCCGCGAAAAAAAATCCAGGAGTGTCGTTGTGTGGACGCAGCCTAATAATAAAGAGTTAATCAAATATGTGAATGAAACAAAACACGACTCCAGCTGTGTTTTTGAGGAGGGATCAGCATTAGAACGTGACTTACAGGTCACAGGAGTCAGTTTAGTGTCATACTGGAGCTTTAATCAAACTTTAAAGTATCTTAACTCTTTGGACAATATTTGTTTTTGTTTTTTTACAGATTATTTTTGTGGTTGAGGTGACCTCAGGCCTCACCTGTCATCCATCTGAGTACCCGATCGGAGTGGAGTGTTGTCCCATGTGTCCAGTGGGTATGTGTCACCTCTTTACTATCAACTCAAAAAAACCTCTTGTCTCAGTCTGTGCCCCCCAAACGTAACGTGGAACATGATTGTGACGCCTGTGAGGTGAGTATTATACCAAACTACAGTGGGAGACTGTAGGTTTAGACTTGGCCTCGTCTTTGGTGCATGGACCAATCTAGTGGAGCTGTTAAGGACCAAAATAGTTTGCTTTTATGGTACAAGCATGAAACTTTGCCAGATTAGTAACACCCCCAGGACTAATATTTCTGGATATGGAACCAAGTCTAATTCAACATTGGAGCTGAGAACTGCACATGTCACAAAATGGACTATATGAAAATGAGTCTGACTTAAAAAATACTACATAATTCCTTTCTTAGAGTCTAATTTGTTTAATTATCCATTTTGTAATGTTGAACAACAATTTTTCATAAACTCCAAAGCATTAAGGCAGTCACATGATCGTTTTCCCTGAGAATGTAAGGGTTGCGTGGGCTCCCTGTGGTTGAAATCCAAGTTAATCCAATATTTTATCTTTCAGAGCCATATTTATTGGGTTTTTGATAACAAAACACATTTGATCATCTCTAAAGATCTGTAAGTGCCATATCATGGTTCATAATGATAATTAAATGCTGCATGGAAGCTTAACCCCAAACACAGAACAGAGATCTACCTTAAATCAGTAAACTTTTTTAAAGTGCTGTAAGTGCAGCTGCTGCCACATTGGCATGACCCTGTACATGCCAAATTTGTCTTTGTGCACTTGCATCACCCAGCACAGGCTTCTGCATCCACACTTGATAAGTTCAGAGAATGTGTCCTTTGTCACTTGTTCTAACCACTGACTGCGTCACGCTTCCATCCCCAATCTGCAGGGCTGGGCACATCTGGTGTCTTAAAATTCTAAAAATTCTTAATGGTGCATTATAACTTTTCTGGTGGGGGGTCCACAACCTGCTTCTTTCATGAAGATGTTACAGCTTTGGCTGGAATCTTTCACTGTACGACATTAAACATATCAGTCTTGTGTTTATTCAGTTAAGGATTGAAAATGTGTTTATTGCTCAAATATCTAAAATGCAGACATTCTTCCATTTAGCAGAGTCTCATGTCACCAGGGAGATGGATAAGGTTAATGTCATACGGTGAAAGCAAAGCAATAACATTTCCCTGGAGACAAGCAGGTATCTCACCTTCCACTGGAAAAGTTACATTGTGAACCTAAAGACGTTAAATTGCATTGTCCTTTTACATAGACTTTACATAGCCATCTCACATAAAAAAAAAAAGAAAAAAACATTATTTCAGCAGTTTAAGCATTTTGTTTTTTAATTAGACTTTATTTTAACATTTGAAGCTAAAACATAGTACATTTGTGGTCTTAATAATGGGTTTATATCTTTATTACAATCCATATCTCACTGTAGTACAGGTGTGAACAGAGCCTCCTCTTTAGATTAAATTATAGTCTGAATATCTACAGCTCATTCCACATTGAGAGATCACAATGAAAATACGACACCATCTCAAAACCTGGTCAGATCTTGCCTTAATTTGGTCATAATCCCAAATCACCATTTTCACAATTTCTTAGGTGTTTTCAGTCTGGTGTGGGATCACTGGAATGAGCCGTTGTGACGTGTTTTCCCTCTACACGTAACCGCAACACACACACACACACACACACACACACACACACACACACACACACACACACACACACTGATTCATCCCGCACACACCAGTTCCCCGCTGTTTCATTCATCTGCGCCGTATTCACTATTATCGCCTTTTCCCCTCTTTCCTCCGTTACTAATTCTCCAAGGCTGCACACTTGAGCTCGTTACAGTAGTTTGTTTCATACTTGTCTCTTACCTGTGTGATGACGTCATCTCTCTCTCCTCTGACGCGGCGCCTCTGCCAAACTGAGCCACTGTTTCCTGTTGTTGAAATAGTCGCTGTTCGCGCCGTGGTGCTGATCACGTGACGCGTGTTATGTAATATGATTTTCCTCACGTTTTTCTGCTATTATTTTTAACATTTAATGCACTTTATTACTGTGTGCTCAATGTAGCATAGACAAGGAGGTTTATGGTTAAATTGTTTGTCTCTATAATGATTTTGATGTGTTGCTCAGTGGGAGGAGTCAGGTGGTTTAAAGGGGAGCCGTTCCTGGCTGTTAATCAGTCGTCCACCGGTTACAGAGCAGGAAACGTCGGTGCACTGAACAAGGATCTTAAAGGGGACAGTTAACGCTGAACTCGACCCTGTTTTTTGGCTGTAAATACTTTTTGGACTTTTGGGGGATTTTTTTCCACTTTGGACACTGGCACAATAAACCACCTGCACTTGGAATTTCGATCTTGCCTGAGTTTTTAATAGAGCCACACCACATCCGTCCACCTCTGCTCTTGTCATTATTGTTACCGTGATGTGTTTTAGGGGGGTAAATTAATTTGGTGATGATTGTGGTTTATTTGTGGCACATGCCAAATTTTAATTCATCACCGTGACGCCTTAAAAGACAATTTAAGCACAGATGTTGCTAAGCTAACATTCATTCATTATGGTAAGGATAATAAAATGCAAGATCATTTACACACTGGCAATTCTAATATTAATGCAGATATTTTTTGGTCAGACATCTGTTAGTAGTATTAAAGATGTACTATGTAACTTTTCTGCTGGGAGTGATAATGGCAGTGTTATATTGTTCCTCAGTATGGCATTAAACTTGTCTGTCTCCTTGGAGACAAAACAGTGGTGCAACCAGGCCATGTTTACAGGTCAGATCTATGGAGAAGTGACCCCCCATGTTTTTTCAAGGTATTTTTGAGCAATTAAAACACCCAAAATAAAATTAAGGTTACATAAATAAATTTAATGCTATACTGCGGAATATTTCAGGCAAAGCAATGAAATCTCCATGGTAACAAGCAGCCGTAACGTCCAGAACAAGACTGAATTAAAGAAACTTAAGTCAGCTTCAAGTTTTATGTACAAAGCCTTAAATACTAGTCACTTGTGTAGTTAGTGATTTTTATATGTGCACTTTATACTTTCACTCAAGTACAAGTTTCGCAGTAGTACTTGTAATTGAGTAGATGTTTTGCTATGTAACTGTACTTTTATTCAGATTTTCAGTAGTTTTTTCACTATTTGAACCAGGAAATTTGCTGATTGAACCATTGAAAATAGAGACTAAACAAAGAGGAGGGAGAGAGAAATGAAGATAGAAAATCAAACCTACACAAAACTATGTTTTACATTTGCCTTAAAGTGGGACTAAACACGTAAACTCCGCCCACAAACACATTTCAAATAGATCTGATAAACTGAGTTACTTGGAGGACTAAAGAAGAGAGTGAAAGAGAGGGGCGGGGCTAGGGGGTATAAGGAACAGTGTGACAGGTATCCACACGACAAACTCCCCCTCATAACCAGGGTTTTATAAACAGAAACAACAGGCTGTAATCAGGGCAGTTCTATGTGATGTCACATAGTACTTGATACCACAGAGGCCACTGGAGTTCACACACTCTCATTTTTACACATTTTTGATCAGATTATTTAGCAAATTTACCTAGTTTGCTCTAAGATTACCAAAAAAAAAGAAAAAGCACTAGAAACAGTAAATTATACTATTAAAGATTCACTGTAACTTTTTGACTGGGGGTCTGTCACCTGCTTGTTACTATGGATATGCCACTGCTCTGCCTAGAATGTTCTACAGTGTGACATTAACCCTTCCAAACCGACGGTATCGTATACGATACCGGCGGACATGTTTTACATAACCGCGCATAACTTTTTAACCATAAAAGATAGAGACTAAATTTTTCCTTGTATAGATAAAACCCGTGGCTTTACGAGCATCTTTCCGGCATCATCCTACGTCACACGCACGCTGCGTGGTGACGTAGTGAAAACAGGTGTCCAATAGGAACTTTGCTCTTCGGCGCGTGACGCGCTCCATCCATTTTCATTGGCCCAAACTTTGCCAAAGATTGTTGTAAGTCAAGATAGTTTCTCCTCTGAGCGACTGTGCTCATAGCATTTGATAAAGCAGACCTAAGTACCATTATTTCTCAAGTAAATGGCAAATTACGCATCTTGGTGTGCGTAATTGCGCATCTCTTACTATTTTTATTTGAAAGGTTTTTTTTTTACTTGCAAATGATACATAATACACCCAACAGGACGTAAACAGCCTAGTGCCGAGCAATGAATCGGGTGCGCGCGGGTGTGAGCAGGTGCGCGCAGATGCGCGCTTGGCGTACACACATTCGTGTGCCAAGGCATTTATTGTTTTGCGCACAGAGGATAAAGAGCTCCGGGAAGTCTATCAGAAGAAAGAAAGAACGAACGAACAGAAATGGCCGCAAAGCGTCACTTTCCTTGCTGGAAGCAGTGGCGATGGTAACGGAGCCTGGCAGTGACGCCGAGTCCGATGTGGACACTTTTTATACAGATGAAGAGTTGGATTATCTGGAGGATCTGGACCCTATTGAAGAGTAAGTAGCAAATATTTCATAGTTATTTAGAGCAAACATCATGCACACTTGTAGTAAACGGGCGTAAATACATAATAGTAGCATGCGTAATGCCTATTTACGCATTGTTTGGATACAGTTTTATTTGATGCGTGAGGGGTTTAATCATTTAGGTGGGGGATGAGATTGTGAACTTCAGACAACTGTTTACCTGTGTTGCACTAGACTTATGACATGTATGTTGTTGTTTGTAATAACGAGCTACAAACTACATGTGTAAAGTGGATGAAGTGGTTTGGGAGGTGTGGATGTCCTAATTAGTGAGGTCATAATCTGTTGACACCATTTGGGTGGGGGATGGGGTTGTGCATTGTCTTTGCCCCTGCTGCACTAGACTTAGACTTGTTGTAGTCCATATGTAATACACAAGTTTTACACAAACTAACATTTTTTCCTTTTCTTTTGTTTAGTGCTGAGTCAGAGGATGTTCCTCAGGCTCCTCCAGATTCCCCTGTGCCATTCACTTCAGGTGTCTCCCCAGCTTCATCAGTGTCTACAACCCCAGCCACCCGTCCAGAACCATCAACACCTTCAACACCTACGATCTCCTCTGAGAGCAGGAGGAGGGGCAGGGATGGAGGGCATGGAAGATCCAGATCTCCACTCCTCAGTACTTCATCTCCATCACCACACTTACTAACCACCACACCAGGAAGACCGCAGCAGGCAAGGATCATATGGGAGGCTGTCATGTGTGCACTACTGACAAACACAGGGGAAGAGGCAGTGTACTGCATGGAAATGCAAGGCCTGTGATGTGGCACTATGCCTGGTGCCTGATAGGAACTGCTTCCATGATTGGCACTAGTGAAGGACTTGGACGAGTGCACTTTTTTTGTTTTGAGGGCAAAAATGACATTTTTAGAATACCTACAAACTTCATATTTTGCACTTTTGTAGCTAAGACCCTAAACTAAGTATTATGTCTAAAAAGTTGTTTATACATGTTTGCTGTGTGTTTTGAATAAAGGAGTGTGAATATTATTTTCCGTTTTTTTTTTTTTCCTTTGTATTTCTAGTGCTATAGCTTTTATTACAGCCATATGACACAACTACAGCACTCAGATTGTGAAAGAACAGGTTGTACTGAAAAAAAGGATGTATAACACTTCATTAGGGGATAAAAGGGGGAGTTTTAATAGCAAAAATTAGGAAAAAAATCCAGGCGAGGACAAATGTACCAAAAATGCCCTTAGGTCTGGAAGGGTTAAACAGATCTACCTTACATGTATTCAATCACAGGTGGTTTTATTGCCCAAAAATACCTAGAAAAACAGACATTGTGACTGTGAGCGGGGTCCACAGATCTGACCTGCAACTTGGTCTAGTTTAGTCTCCATGGAGATAGAAATGTTTAATACCATACTGTGAAATATTCCAGCAAGCAATAACATCTCCATGGAGACCAGAAAATTTACACAATGCACCTTTTAAAAAACACCATTAGTTTAGTAGCAAATATCTTTCTGTGATTTCATTTTTACTTTCATTTTAAAAACGGCATTGAAACCGCTTTGCAGTAGCTAGTATCTTGAGAATACATTTTTCTTTTATAACCCATATGATTATTTAACATTATTTTCCAAAAAAGGCAGTTAAAGCAATAATTTAGCTCCCAACCTCGTTTCCATGTCAGCCGTTATGTGACATGTGCAGTCCTCAGCTCCAAGGTCGACTTGGTTCCATATCCATAAATGTTGGTCCTAGGGATGTTAATAATCTGGCAAAGTTTCATGCTTGTACCATAAAAGCGAACAATTGGGCACTATTTTGGTCCTTAACAGTTCCACCAGTCCCACTGCTGCGTTGTCTCTGACTGGAGCTGATCTTCTGTGTTTTCAGGGTAACAAGTAATCAGGGACTGATAAAAGAAGTGCTAAAACTGTCACAGCTCTTTGTGCTTCTCTGTTGGTGTTATGAATTGTAATGTATTTATCTGCTGCTGACAGGCACTCGAGTGAATAAACACTGCACAGAGTTCCGCAGCACATCGTGTCTCCCATGTGACGGTGGGACGTACATGAACAAGCCCACAGGGAGGACAGAGTGTCTGCGCTGTAGGATGTGCGCTGCAGGTATGAACTACACCACTGCATAGTCTTATAGCATGCAACTCCAAAGCCCTGAGCAAACACAAGCCTGAGCTTGTGCAGAAGGTTGAGAGGTCCTGTCTGGATATAGTCGGCCTCACCTCCACGCACAGTTTGGGCTCTGGAACCCAACTCCTTGAGAGGGGCTGGACTCTGTTTCTTTGGTGTTGGCCGCAGGGAGCGGCAGCGGGCTGGTGTGGGCTCTGGTGTTGGGCTGGTGTGGGCTCATTGCTGGAGTTCACCCCGGTGAACGAGAGGGTCGCATCCGGGGACAGGTTTCTCACTGTGGTGTTGCCTACGGGCCGAACAGCAGAGCAGAGTACTTGAGTACCCAGCCTTCTGCCAGGCCCTGGGAGGGACTAGACAGTGCACCAACCAGGGACTTCAGTGCCCACGTGGGTGATGGTCACATTTTTCTATAGCGCTTTTCCACCTTCAAGGCACTCAAAGCTCTTTACAACAAGGAACCACTCACTGGTGTTGTGATTCCATCTCCCACAGCATTCATCTGTGGGAGCTGGAATCACACCAGCCAACCTGTGGGTCAGTGGATCTGACGCTCAACCTGTGATGTTTATGTTGCGAGCTGGATTCGAACCGCCAACCTTCAGATCAGTGGGCAAATGCTCTACCAACTGAGCTACTGCCGCCCCTGACAGTGACACTTGGAGAGGAACGGCCTCCCTGAACTGAACCCGAGTAGTGTTCTGTTATTGGACTTCTGCTAATCATGGTTTGTTTAGAACCAACACCATGTTCGAGCACAAGGTCCATAAGTGCACGTGGCACCAGGACGTCCTCGGCCGGAGGTCGATGATCGACTTTGTAGTCGTGTCATGTGACCTCCGGCCGCGTGTCTTGGACACTCGGGTGAAGAGAGTCAAGAGCTGTCAACTGATCACCACCTGGTTGTGAGTTGGTTCGCTGGTGGAGGAGGAAGCCGGAAAGACCTGGCAGGCCCAAGCGTGTAGTGAGGGTCTGTTGGGAACATTTGGTGGAGCCTCTATTAGAGGGACTTTCAACTCGCACCTCCGGGAGAAGCCTCCGGAGGAGGCTGGGGACATGGAGTGTGGACCCTGTTTGGGACCCAGGCCGCACAGGTGCAAACATGGGCCACAGATCCCCAGGCAACAACATCTGACCACTGCACGGTCCAAAAGTCCCAGTGTGAATGTGCCCTTAGTACAGCAGGTGTTGGACAAACACAGGAGATCACTGGACGTCCCTCAGTCATGAGAACGACCTCAGGTCAGAGCTGATTGTTTCACCCACAGTGGGAACTTCAGTCACTTTGACTGTTCTGACGACAGAAGAGACGCACTTCATCAAAGTGGAACATGACAGTGGAACATCCAGAGCAAAGTTGTCTCACTACCAACTGTTCTGGTTTGCAAATAAAAAAAACATTTACACAAAGCCTATCCACTTTTCTATGTTGATAAAAAGATTAAAATGATTCAGGGGGCAACAACGTGCAATTAATTTGTGATCAGTCGTGAGTTAACTATGGCATTCATTAGATTAATCACAAAAATCACCAAACGGAACTGATCAGATAAATGTGAAAACCTGTCTGTGATTATCTTAAATTTAATTTAAGTAAATTAGGAATGTTTACATTTTCCTGTTTTGTCCAGAAATCATGTGTAACTGTGTGTGTGTGTGTGTGTGTTTGTTGTGTCCAGGTTCTGGTCTGAGAGTGAAGGTTTCGTGTACCTCCACTTCTAACACCCTGTGTGAACCTGAGGACAGGTTCTTCTGTGTGGAACCGTCAGACGAGGGAAACTGTGAAGCGTCTCAGAAACACTCGCTCTGTTCACCTGGAGAATTTATCCAACAACCAGGTGAGAAAAACAACTCAGAACAATCTGCACTTCCACAATAAAACTGCACTGAGCTGCACATGTTTGACTTTACACAATCAAAGCTGCACTGCTCAAGAAAAAATACAAGAAACACTTCGCATCTCCAATGTGAAAGAATCAGTTGTATAACTATACAAATGTGGACAGAGCTGAGGAACAAACAGATGCTCCTCTTTTCATGGAAATGAACACAGGGGCAGTAAAGTGACACCAGTGAGACCTGAACCGGGACTGGACCCTGAACCGGGACTGGACCCTGAACCGGGACTGGACCCTGAAACAGGACTGGACCCTGAACCGGGACTCATTTCCAGTTTTTTCTCTTGATGTTTTTTGGCTGCTTTGGTTCACCCTGAGCTCCTGTGACAGACGAGAAAGAGTCTGGAGAAGATGAGGAGAACGTTCTGTTGCTGCTCCATGGATGGATCAATACGACTGAACGTCCTTCACCATCACCTGACTTAAACCTGACAGAACCTCTGGGACATGATGTTTGGGTCCATCAGATGCTCCAGGTTCCTCCTCAGACTCTACAGGAACTCAGTGATGCTCACACAGACCTGGAGAACATCCCACATCTAAACAGCAGTTGACTTGAGTTGACTTGAGTTGACTTGAGTTGACTTGAGTTGACTTGAGTTAAGTTTACAGGGACCATGTACAGGGGCATTAATCAAAGAAACAATGAAAAGATTCTTTGTACCAGACTGTAGCTCTCAGACATAATTTCCATCTATAATCCCTGTGACAGACAAAACACTGAGGACACCATCCATCACCTCATCTGGAGAATCCCACAACAAACAGGAGCCGCACGAGACACTGACGAGCATTGAGTTACACAAATTACATTTAGTCAAACTGGTCGAGTCCAACACTTCATTATTTCACTTTGATTTTCAGACTGTCGATAAAATGAAGCTTCTGTGGCTGAAAATGTTGTTTCCATTAAAAGTGGTAAATCCTTATTGTGTGATTTTGTACAGATTTGTTTTGATGTACAACAGATTTTTTTTCACTTTGAGATCTGAAGTGTTTTCAAAATGTTCCTTTGAGTTTTTTTGGAGCAGTCTATTTGCTCTACATTTATTCACTCCAGAACTTTCAGATCAGATCAAATAAATCTCCATAGTGGATGAGAAGAAACTGTGACCTGAAACGTTCTGAGTGGAGTTTGTAGAACAGCTCTGATTTAAAACTCTGACTTCACACACCAATATTTTATAAATGGATATTTTCTTCACCCAAGTTCTGTTCTGTGATGGTGAAAGTGATTAGAAGTGATTTATTGTTCATTTTGTCTCTTGTATTTATTCATTGATTTGTCTGTTGAAGCAGAAAATGGTAAAAAAATAAAAGGTTTTAGTTTGTGCCACAGTTTCCTAAACGTCCAGACAGACGCAGCACAGAGGACGACTCACTTATATTTACAAGAGATTCTACTTTTCACAATACTTTTCTACCAAAATACTTTTACTCCTACTTGAATCATAGTTTTACTGAAGTAACAGAACTCTTACTTGAGTAAAATATAGTACATAGTGTTAATGTGTGTGACCTGTGATCTGTGTGTTCACAGGGAGTTCTTCTACAGACACAGTTTGTTCTCCGTGTCCTCCAGACTCCTTCTCTAATGGGACTCTGTCAGTCTGTCGGCCGCACACACGGTACAGTAACCCACCCCTCAAGTTTAAACAAGGCTCAAAATCTTTCTTTGGTTTTAACAAACATTTATTCAGATATGAGTCTTCCACGTGTCTTCACATGTAAATGAATCTCAATGTCAGAATAGAAAAGAAAAAAACAAAACTTAAAATTAACCCTCAGATACAAAACACAGACAGAAAAAAAAATAATCACACAATAAAAACAAGACAAAATGTCCCTCATTGGCCACATCCACTCAAAGAGAATAAAGTCTTGTCCTTTTGAAAACTTTCACCTTAAAACAAAAAAATGTCCTTTTATCTCAGAGGACAGAGCAGCTCCTCGTGTGTCTCCCAGTTGAGACTGTGCACCTGTTAAAACTTCCCCTCGAAACGATATGTAATTGGAAGTGGAAGAATTCAGCCAAAATAAAATGAAATTAATTAACATGAACTTACTGAAAAAAAATAACTTATTTAAGTAAAATATTTCTTTTTAAACATTTTACTATGTCAGTATGAATATTACAAAACTAATGTATGACAGTTGCCACTGACGGCAGATATACCAGTTAACTACAACTAAAACAATAAATAATATAATGTAATAAACTCTGTAAAATAAACATTAAAAAGAATGAAATGAAAAGGCTCACAGACAAACAAGAGCAATAAAAGAACAAACAGAACAAGAAAATCTGAAACCAGCCAAACGAGCGAAACACAAAACCATTTCATGAACCAGAACAATCCAGAGTCGTCCTGAAAACAACAAACACCCGTCATCTCCAGCCTGTCTTTATCACACGAGAAAATAAAACGAATCTGAAATGACTTTCCTCTGATGTGTTCTGCTAAAAACAACCAGAAAGTCAAATATAACATGTCTGTGTAAAGTCCGAGCTGTGACTCTGACTCTTCTGTTCTGTTCTGTTCTGTTCCAGGTGTGAAGAGAAGAACCAAGTCACAGTGAAAGAAGGAACCTCACAGTCGGACGCTGAATGTGGAGAAAAAGACTCAACTGTAGCCGTTGGGGTTGGTGTTGGTGTTGGTGTCGTATGGCTTGTGTCATTAGTTTCAGTTGGACTGATTTATATCATCAAGAAACAAGTGTTTGCAATGAAAAAGCCTAATACATCACCAGCACCAAGAGAAGAAATGACCCGTCTACAGGAGCAAAACAGAGAAAACACAAAGACCACATCACACATTTAACATCTACAGTGCGTCAGACCAACATTATGTGATTACTGATGAAGGAAAAACTCTTTATGCAAATGAGATCCAATCATCTACTGGGAAATGATCAGATCTTCATCTTTATTTTAACACAATCTGACCACAAAGAGACGACTTCACTGGATCTACAACAGGTTAAACAAGTTAAACAAGTGAAACAAGTGAAACAAATCTCTTTTGAAATCAAACTCCTGAACAGGACCATGAACTCTGATCACAGAAACTCACCACGTTTCATTTTTATCTGTATTTTTTTGTATTTTTTTTTTTTTTTGAGTTTTCAGATGATTTTATAAGCAGAAAAAGAAATCTGTTTGTAAATCTGTTTTTAATAATCACAAAATCTAAAAAAAAACAAAACATAAAGACCAGAGTCCGACCGATACGGATTTTGCTGTGGCCGATATGAAACCGATAAAATGGAAGTTGTAGCTGTCGATATAATCACCGATATATTTAGTGATGTAAAAATTCACTGTAAATCTTGAATTGTTTAAAAAACTTGGGTTTGGCTCTAGTGGATTTTAAATTGGGTTTATTTAGGAAACATTTATTGTTCTTCTGACTTTTTGTGTCACATTTACAGTCGGTCGGACTAATGACATTTTTACATCGTCACATTCTAAACACGAGTGATGATGGGGATTCCAGTTCTTTTTGGAGAACCGGCTCTTTTGGCTCGGTTCACTAAAAGCAGACGGCTCTTTCGGCTCCCAAGAGGCTCTTCAGATTGTTTTGTTACAAGCAGGACTAAACCAGAACTGAACCAGGACTAAACCATGTGTAAAACAGGACTGTGATGGAGTCAGTCAGTCTATGATTTTAGGTGGTGTTTTCCCTCTACACGTAACCGCGGTCTGCAGTGACGTGCCCGCGCACACACACACACACACACACACACACACACACACACACACACTGATTCATCCCGCACACACCAGTTCACTCCCCGTTTCCCGCTGTTTCATTCATCTGCGCCGTATTCACTATTATCACCTTTTCCCCTCTTTCCTCCGTTACTAATTCTCCAAGGCTGCACACTTGAGCTCGTTACAGTAGTTTGTTTCATACTTGTCTCTTACCTGTGCGATGACGTCATCTCTCTCTCCTCTGACGCGGCGCCTCTGCCAAACTGAGCCTTTATTTCCTGTTGGTTGAAATAGTCGCTGTTCGGGCCGTGGTGCTGATCACGTGACGCGTGTTATGTAATATGATTTTCCTCACGTTTTTCACCTATTATTTTTGACATTTAATGTACTTTATGACTGTGTGCTCAATGTAGCATAGACAAGGAGGTTTATGGTTAAATTGTTTGTCTTTATAATGATTTAGATGTGTTGCTCAGTGGGAGGAGTCAGGTGGTTTAAAGGGGAGCTGTTTCTGTCTGTCAGTCAGTCTGCCACCGGTTACAGAGCAGGAAACGTCTTTGTGCTGAACAAGGATCTTAAAGGGACAGTTAACGCTGAACTCGACCCTGTTTTCTTGCTGTAAATATTTTTGCACTGTTTTTGGGATTTTTTTCCACTTTGGACACTGGCACAATAAACCATCTGCACTTGGAATTTCGATCTTGCCTGAGTTTTTAATAGAGCCACAGTACAAGGACTAAACCAGGACTGAGTGTCTGGACTCGGTCTCTGTCTCTCTCCGTCTCTCGAGCCCAAGATTAGTCCTGGTTTATTTATTTTATGCTGAACTACAGACAAACATGTACAGTTTTTGGATATTATAATTTGACTCCGTTGTGCACATGTACTGCACACATCTTTGACTTTTTTATTCCTGCCACACTTTACTGTTCCAGTGATTCATCTGATGAACAAACATAAACACTATTACAGTATTTTTATTAAAAATATTATTACAGTATTTTTATTAAAAACATTATTACAGTATTTTTATTAAAAACATTATTACAGTATTTTTATTAAAAACATTACAGTATTTTTATTAAAAACATTATTACAGTATTTTTATTTAAAACATTATTACAGTATTTTTATTAAAAACATTATTACAGTATTTTTATTAAAAACATTATTACAGTATTTTTATTAAAAACATTATTACAGTATTTTTATTAAAAACATTATTACAGTATTTTCACAGCACCAAGTCACAGCATCAGTAAAGTTAAACCCACAAAACCGTCCTCAAGACTCTGTGACTCTGAACATTCACATCTATAGAGTTTAAAGTTTTAAAGCTGCACTGTGTCACTTTTCTCCATGGAGACGTTGTTGATTGGTCTGGAATGTTCCACAGTGTGGCATTAAACCAGGCATGTCCAAACTACGGCCCGTGGGCCAAATGCGGCCCTCAGACAAATTTTTCTTGTCCCTCAGGCTTCCAGGTGACTTGGCCCAAATGATCTTACATCATTTAAAAATTAACTTCTTACTGCAAGTT